CATGTCTTTCCAATTTAGAGACAAGGATGTCCAGAATTCCCAGAATGCTCCTCAGATTCGTTGGCTTCTGGAGCTCCAGAGTTTTAGCAATGTCAGTCATTGTCATCCATTACAACTGATGTGTCTGAAAATATATTTGTTTGTGTTCAGATGCAAACTAAATGGGATTACTTTTTAGTGTAAGTACAAGATAGTGGCTCACAAATACAGATTAATTTATAAAAATGAAGCCTATATTCAATAGGATTTCTATGCAAAAAGATGTAACGTTCCAAATCTAAGAAGCCTCACTGCAGACTGTGATGCTGATCATGTTCTTAAGCTGTCTGAAGAGTATTTGCTAAAACATTTGCTGATTTAAGAGAAATAAAGACTCTTACTTGTAAAAATTTACCTGTTGTTAGTTACTTATTTAAACAAACAGGATTTTTGTTACTCTGAAGCTGTTCTTACTTGATGCTGTGTAGTGATCTAGGTGGCAATAAAAAATCTGCATGAATGAAGGACTGGTATGATGCACAACAGCTCTTTTGGTGATTGTCGTGCAGCTCCTTCGGCACAGGATGAAATAGGGTTTCTTTAGTCTATTTGCTAAGAGTCATCACCAGGTTCATGTCCCTCTCTGTACATATCTATTCCCTGTCTCTAGTTTTGGCCATCTTATATTTGGTACTTGAAGCCAAGTCTGGTTGAAACACCGTTCTTCTCGCAGTTTTCTAAAATTTTGATCTGTTCTCATCAGAATATGAGACTAAGATACATACAGTATTTTCCAAACTTCTCTGTTTTATGATAAACATACCTAGAACTGTTCTGCTTCCAAGTGGCTGAAAGAGTATGTTACCCAAATGCCTTTAAAACCTATGTTGCTTTATTGCTTTTGAGAATTTGTGAGTTAATGTAGGCATTTTGTATACACTGATGTCTGAACCATGTTACATTAAGTTGATTGAAAAGGTACCCTGAGTACTTTTGCTTTCAGAAACCCTGCCACAACATCACTGTACTCTAATTTGGCCTCAGCCTGGTCTTTCTCTCCTCAAATAATTTTTTGCATCTGATTTCCATAGCAAAACAATAGATTGTACCAAACTATTTGCAGACCAGTCAGATGGTAATAGAGAATTCTTGTTGCCTGGCCTACAAAATTAACGTACCCTTGTGAGTATAAAGAAATCAGCCCTCTTGGTATTTGCAAACCATTGTGCCATTCTCCAGTATTTGCCTGCCTGATAGGTGTAGCAATATGATTATGGTCCTCATAACTTGAAGAATTACATTGAGGTTATTTTCCAAATGTGGGCGAATCTGTTATTTGCTTTTCATTTGCTTCAAAGATTTCATTAGTAGAGCCGTGCTTTTTTCAGTGGTGTTAGAAGTGTATTGTTTATTTCATTAGTGATTTCTAAAACACACCGAAGCTTTAGGAATTCACTCAAAAGAAGGGATGTGTGCCCCTCTTCCAAGGCATTAATGACTCTTGTAACCCAATAGTAGTAACAAATAGTAATAATCAGAGCTAATGAACTGAAACATGCTTGGTTTATAATTAAGTCTAGATAATTCCATATTTCAAAATGTGCTATTAAACAAAACGAAAATACTGTGAAACTTCACTGTAACAGGTGCAGTCTCTGTTATTAAATGTTTACAGAGTAAAGGCAAAAGAGGAGAATCTGCATATGTATGCAGGTCTGCAGCTTGTTTACTGTGAATTAGAGTGACTTTCCTATAAAACAAAACCAAACCCCCACAAATATGTGAATGCTTGCATGTTTAAATGTGCTGAGGGGGGTTATTGCCTGGCTGCTAATTTTAATGGTTTTCAGACTGATATTAAACACATAATTTGAGTAGAGCCACAAGCTAGTCTAATGTTTTTGTTCTTTTTTTCTTAAAGCTCAAGCTATAAAAGCAAAAGGTCCAGTGTCTATCCCATACCCACTCTTCCAATCACATGTGGAAGATTTATATGTGGAGGGGCTGCCAGAAGGAATTCCCTTCAGGCGACCATCCACGTATGGCATTCCCCGTCTTGAGAGGATACTTCTAGCAAAGGAGCGGATCCGGTTCGTGATTAAAAAGTAAGGAATTTTGCGGTTTTGTCCCTATATTACTCATTGTTTCTGCTGGCTCCACTCTGCTCCATTTTATCTTCAAGAACTTCCAAACTGATTTCTACCGATGTATTCTTTTGCAGTACTAATGAGGAATTATTAGTTGATGTTCGCTCTGATAAATTCAGCTTATCAGAACTGAACAGATCTCTCCAATATTATGGACTTCCTGTCATGGGCAGATTTCTTTGTACTGTTTTAATCTCTGTGGTTGTAATACATGTTGAAAGCCATTGACTTGGGGATATTTTATGCTATCTAAAGATCCTGCCCTAAATTTCAGCTTGTGATTTATTTTTTTTCTTGCTGGAATGCTGTATCAAGGTGTCTGTGGCCATATCTGTATATAGCATCACTCAGGGCAGGCTTGAGGCCAGAGTAGCTACTGGTTCCTATGATTTAGTTGGATGTGTGTCCTTGGTGTATCTGGAGGTAGATCAGATAGTGTACATGAAGGGAGACCTTAGACAGACATAGCAGTTGCTGGAGGGCTCAGTGGCCTGCCGTAGCTAGTCTGGCAGGGTATCATCTGCCTTGAAAGGGAGGACATGACTCATGAGCTGTTCTGGGCTCCTTTCTTTCTCTTTTTCTCCTTTCTTGCCTTGGTGTCTTTCCTAGAACACCCCTGACATTGCTTTCTGCAAAGGCAGGTGGGATTGGAAGGGAACCCGGACCGAGCCTGAATTCAGGGTATGCAGGGAGAGATGCCGGCATCTGCGGATGCTGAGCGCTGGATCTCAGCGCCGCTGGGCACTTCACGATCCAGTACTGTGGGTATGACTGCGGCAGACTGGCAGGCAGCTTTGGTAGTGGGGGGGTACTTCTGTAATTTGGTGCCTCACTTCAGACAGATGTGATGTTTCACACCACAGATGGGAATTTACAGTTGAAATGAAGCTTCTGCGAGTAACAGCTGATGTTTTACTATTGTTCAGTGGTGTAGGGCCTAATCCAAGAGTTTTTGAAGTGAATAGGAATCTGCTGATTGCAGTGGTCAGGCTTGGAATCGGTGGCAGTGACAGCCCGTGCCTCTGTGTGCATCCTGCCTTTAGCACAGATGCTAGATTCCCAAATTTGAGAGGTGTTTGTTCAGTTTCTCTCACCCTAACGCTTGCAGATAATGAGAAAAGAGGAAGATGATCTACCTTTTGGCTCACTTAAAATCAGACACTATGCATAGATTTTAATATTTACGCAATGCTGGCACCTGCTTTTGTTAAATTTGTCTTAGTTAACAGTAATTAATTTATGCTGTTCATCGGTTTTGTAATGTGTGGTAACCAGAGCAGCTCAAAAACCAGTTCAGCTCTTTGAGGAAAGTCAGAATTTTTTTTTTTGTTGTTGTTCTAGTATGGATAAAACTAGATGTATTTGGGAAACAGAAATATCTGCTTTGAGATTTTCATTTTTAAAGGATAATTTTTTTATTTGGATCTTTGTTTCTGATGGAGTGCATCTTGGACCATGGAGATAATTTTAATATAATCTATGTGTTCCCATGAAATGTTATGGCTCAGGTGGATATGGGTATCAGGCACGAAAAACGTTTTTGTCAGTAGAGTTCCAACCAACTCTTATAATACTTTGGTGTTAATTGGAATTTAATGTTGGGGATCTTGATGTCCCCTGTTGGTTTGTTTTTTGTTTTCTGATCCTTCAGTGGTAACTCTATGCTGTAACTGTAGGCTGTAACTTCTGGTTTATCAAAGCGTATGTCACTGTAGAAGCACGTATCTTCAATCTTTTAGGCATGAGCTTTTGAATTTGACACGAGAAGATGTACCGTTGGACAAACCAGTTGCAGGAGGTAGGTCTTGAAACGTGAGTTGTACAAGCACAGTGTGATTTCCTGACAGTCCTAGTAGTGGCTACTATTTGCTTTTACTAATAACACATTGAAAATAATTCCTCTTGTTTTGAATTTTCTTTAGCTACAGAGTGACAGCAACTTTCCACTGGCTACCGAAGCCCAGTGCTACTAATGCTCTGTCAACTGGTTTGCTTCAGCTAGCCAGAAGGAAAAACAATGAGCTAAGTGTCCGTTGATCTCTATATCTATAGAGAAAAGGCAGTCGTTTCCATAGTTGATCGAGTTTACTGGGTAGGGAACTGTCTGTATCGCAGAATAATTGCTTAGCTATGGTATTTGCCAAAATTAGATTAACTGAAATGCAGTAATGAACATACTGGCTATAATGAAAATTATTATTGTAGAATCTAACTTGCTCAGATGATGGAACTCCATTTTCACGTAATGGTGCAAAGACAATGCATTCTAACCACTTTTGCCATCGGTAATACTTTTCATGCTTTTACATGTTTGTCTCCATTGAGCACCCATCCAAAGGTAACAAAAATAACTGTAAAAACAAGACTACAGGCATAGACTTTTGTTACAATTGCACCCATGAACTCATTTCCCCTTAAGTTGAGACAAAAAAGTTTTGTGTGGGGAAAAAAAAATATCCAGTTTTGAAAGAATTGTGCCTTTGCATGGGCACTAGTTGATGAATTACTTTCCTGGACTTGTTTTTTCTCTTCAGTCGTATTCTACTGTCTCTTGGGCTTCAGGGTGTTTTTTTAATTGTCCAATTAAGCCAAGTGTTGAAAGCTTGTATGCCTAAAGCAATGGTAGCAAACAAATTGCTCCCAACCCCAAAATGCTAACTGGCAACCTCAGCCTGGGTGAACTGTGAAATTTTAGTAATACCAGAGAAATTCTTAGTTCAGACAGGGACGGAAGCATATAAATGGTAGTATCTGCACTACTGCAGCACCATTATCTTGTATTATATACTCATAGTCTTCTGTTGTAAAAAGTATATCAAAGACTGTACTTAAAGTGAACATTAAGGATCTAAATTAAGCAAAGAAATTATGTCATAAGGATATCTCTTTAATATGTGTGTAGGAATTAAACTTTTCCTGCAGTATAAGTTAACCTAGTGTTTTGAGTCTTAATAACCTACTGTTCCTTCAAGCACTGAATTTGACTATAAAAATAGTAGGTAGGCTAATGACTGAGTCTTAAACTTAACTGTGCTCTTATGTGGATTTTTAAATTAGCCCTTTTCTCTGTTATTTTTGTCATATTTAATATGGTTATACTGATTGCGAAGACAGATCAGGTACATTACGTATTCTGTAAAACCCCTGTAGCTAAGACGACTAGTGGTAACCCATTTTGATGGCACAGCGTTATGAACAGTCACTTTATGTTGCTTGTCTTCACTAATTCGTAATGGTGGTATATTCACGTGTGACCTCTGTGTTATTTCTGAGAAAAGAGAACGTCTGTGAAAGCTGTTGATAACATCTCAGGGAACACAGCTCAGAACGCATCAGCTGCCTGACCCTCCTGTCCCTTGGTTTTCTTTTCCCACTGTTTGGATTCCCTCTTTCTCAGTAGCTCATCATCTCCTCTGCCGCTCCACGTGTCTGCTGCCATCTCAGGGGAGACAGCTATGTAGCAGCAGCCCCTGCTTTCAGCTCCTTGCGGCTCCATGTCCAACATCCTGCGCTCTCCGTAGCCCCTGCTAGCTTGTCCCCCAGCCAGAGGAGAATGGGATGGATACGGAAGTTGTATTTTGACTGGCAGAAGAAAGATGATTTGCATTTGTATTCCTGTGGGAAACAGGGTGGTCAGGAAGGTTTTATGAAATGGCCTCAGCCCTGAAGCCCTGAGAAGACCGATACTGGCTCCAAGGCAAACCAGTCAGTGATGGTTTGATCAGGACATGGCTGGAGAAGTGTGACCAGGTGCCTCTGAAGACAGCCCAATCTGGTGCAATGCAGCTATGGAGCAGAAGCTGTTGCTTGTGCATGCTGGCTAAACCCACAGTGTGGGAGCTGTCTGGTGTCTTGTTCAAGACTGATGAACTTCCACTTGTTGGTCACAAAGACATTCAGAATAAAAAAGTGATTTCTATGATAAGTACTTTGATCCTTGTCACCCAACACTGAGGGGACAGACAGGTTCTTTTAGGGATCCTTGGCAGAATGATGACAGCACTAAATCATAGTTACAATTAAAGCTTTATTTTCTTAACTGGATATTATGATTAGTATAGCATAGAATTTATGATGAGAATGGCATGGGATTTCTACAAGCAGAATCAGTATAGCACAGTTTAGAAGTAGTGTAATACAGGGTTTCTAATACAACTTAACCTATGGTTTCTAATCACCTAGACCCTCTGCAGATCAGGTCAGGTCTTTATACATGGCTTGCTGTATCAGTATAACAATCATAATCTAGACACAAATATGATATAAAAGAGAAGGGGTCACTCAGTCCTCGGAGGAAGCAGAGGACAGTGGAGATGTCTCTGGCCATGAAGGGTCATGGTGGTCCAGCAACAGCTCCGGTCCAAGTTCCTCCCTTAAGACTTGTGACTGCTTGATTTTACAGACAGTGCTCCATGTGCTGTTCCACTTCCCTCTTCCATGCTGGGGACATCACCACCACCGGGCTGGCCAGGTGCCTGGGACCTTCAAGGCTGGTGAGGAAGGGAGTAATTGGCCTGGTGCCCAGGAATCTTGAGGCCAGTAGGGAGAGGAAGGAGAAATCTGTTTGGTTTGTCTACTTGGCTCACAGGACCTTCAGGGCCTGAGAATGAACACCCCAACGAATACATGACCCACTTGGTCACCAGGAATGGCATCTTGCCTTACAAAATGGCGTCAGTTATGCTAACCATATTACCAGGGGGTACCAGTCACAATCCCAAATGATGAGCGTGCATGACAAAACAGAAACAAAAGCTGTTACCATTCCTTTTTTTTGACAGCACTAGCGTCATCACTGTGCTCTGTTCTGCTGGAGGAGCAGCCCTCAAAGTCATGGCTATCTTCAGGTGCAAAACTTTGTCTCGTGAATTCTGAAGTTGCATGTGTATCAGGCAATAAGCAAAGATAGTCAAGTGATAAAATGATGGAAAAACTGTGTTTAATCTTGTTTTATTGACCTGGATATGCTAATCTACATACCTGCCACAAGTTGGGTTCTATGTCTGAATTGTGACTTAACTCATGTAGTGTCAAGGAAACATTTTAAAAAACATTTAAAAAATATTGTCCACAAACAGTGGGAGAAATGGGATGCTGGAATTTCAACATGAATATGCAGCAAGGAGCAAACTGCTATGTGCAGCCATTGTAAAAACTTGTTTTAGGGTTGTCAGTGCTTAGTGAAAACTCCTTGAAAGTGAGATTTCATCCCATATGCACACCAAATTCTGCACTGAATATCAAGATCATTTGAAACTGGCAAAAAAACTAATCCCATCTCCAAGTGGGATCCACAGACTGGAGGCAGATGATGAAAGCATTGCGATTCTTCAGGCCGGTACACAGGGTGTGTTGTTGTAGCAAGAGCGATGTCACTGGTTCAATGGATTTTTTACAGTTTAAATATTTTATCATTTTTTATAATTAATTTTCTTAGTTCCAAGTTGAATCTATACTCCTTCTGCATTGTATTTTCTGGGTTACCTGAAAATGCAGGATGGTTATGCCTGCTATAAACTGAACAACTGAAAATAAACCCAAAATAATTAGGGAATGTTGTTCTGTGTCACTCTCAAATACAGTGAAAGAGGAGTGGTATGCCAGAATCACCAAACTGAGAAAGATGGTAGATCAACTCTTCTGTAAAAAGTTTGGTGAGTACGGTACTATTATTTTCTTTTCCTTTATGGCTTTGTATTTCTTGAAGGCTGTTGTCAGTATTTCCTTTCAATATCTGCATGAATGGGACCTTTGATCAGTTTTTTTTCAATTATTTAAAGTCCCAGCAGTTGAGTGAAAAAGAATGTATTGCTCTGCTGCTTATACAACAAGGTAAATTCTTAGTTTAAAAAAAATTATCTTACATGTACAGCTCTTCTAATTGCTCTCAATTCCTTCCTATTTGGATTAGTTTTCCTTTGATGGTGAATAAAACAACCATTTACTTATTTATATCCATTGCAGTATCATTAAAATCAGTATTAGAACTTTTCTTGGTGAATTTTTATGTTCTCTCCGATATAAAAAAGTCAACTTCATAAGAGCTAGAATAAAATGTTGCATGGTGCTCTATAATAGATTAAAAACTTTGGCTAAAACTACTGTATTATGCCCCAGTGAGGAACCCAGTAGTGTCCAGTCTAGCATTGTGCCTGCCCAATAGCAGCATGCTACTATATGGTAAATTTTTATGGTTTTGATCTGCTGAGACTTGGACTCTGTTGGGTTTAGATATCCTGCACTGTCCCAGGTTCTATGATCACACTTGCAATAGCCTGACGATTTGGTAGCTTGGCTAGCTTTTGATAAGGGTTGATGGCCAAACTGTCCAGTTACTGGATGTGTTTTGTTCTAACAGCCGAGGCCCTGGGGAGCGCTGAGCCTAAAGCTGTTCCATACCAGAAATTTGAGGCCCATCCTGCTGACCTCTATGTTGAAGGGCTACCAGAGAACATCCCCTTTAGGAGTCCCTCCTGGTATGGAATCCCTCGTCTGGAAAAAATAATTCAAGTGGGCAACAGAATAAAATTTGTGATCAAAAGGTAAGTGTTTGTTTTAATGCCTAAACATGGTTTTGTTTTGTTTTAAGAAAGAGGCCAAACAAACACCCTTTGTGTAGTCGAGCTGGTTTCATTAAGTCATGAAGCGTTTGGTCTCTAGTTACCAAACAGGCAGATTAAATATTCTGCATTATCAAATGGGTATTTGCAATCCAGACAAGTCTTCCAAAACATCTTTGTAGCATGTTCACAAGTGTGAAATACGTAATAGAAAAATCCAAACTTTTCAATTCAAGGCATAGTAAGTAGCAGTATTTAATTTGTGTCAAGAATGGGCAGATGATTCACTTTCTGGTTGCAGGCCGGAGCTGCTAACTCTCACTTCAACCGAAGTTATTCAGCCCAGGTCGAACACCCCAGGTAAGACAGGCGCTGTCTCCAAGGGGGAGTGGAAGTGATCGGTGGGGTCACAAATTGGGATCAATACGTTTTTCAAGAAGTAACCCTTCTGTAGTGAGTGTGCTGAGACACTCATTATGGGGTTTGAGGAGAATAAATTGATCATTGTGAACATGGATGGCTTCCAGGATTGTGGTGCAGTCCAGCTCTCGTGGAATAGCAGGTTGGATCACCTTGACAGCCAGGAGAAGTGGGGTTACTATCCTGGCCTGACTCAAAGCTCTGGAGCCCCTTAGCATTTCACAGCTGACTTTGGGCTTTTTTTGCTCTGTTGGTAAGGAATTGTAATGGCTCCTTGTAAACCTGGAATGCCTTTAACACAGGAAGAGAATCCAGATGGATTTTTGTTTCCTGAGATGATCGATTTCTCTGAATTGGTGTACTGATACTTTCTTGCTACAGAAGTGTACAATCCAGAGTATGACTCTGCTAGTAGTTGTACCACAAACCCAGACCCAGGGCTCACTAGATTTTTTTTCCCCACATAGATTTCACTGGATAAACAAACTTGCATCTTCAGGAAATAATTGTGTTGAGCTCTCTGCAGGAAGAAAAAAAAAAAAAAATTACTTAATAATCATGTAATCAATAGTTGTCTTATGCCATCACAATGTATTGTGGATTTTGTTTGGATTTTAGGAAAAGGATCCTATTCAGCAAGAGGGTAGCTCAGTAGAAAAGACTGTTCAATATGGAGCAGAAGGAAAAAGCAGGGTTGATTTGGTTTGTTTTGTTGCCAAAACGCCAATTGTTGTCAAATTTGACAACATAACTGGCAATTTGATAATAAAGTAATAACAGCAGGTGCCAATAATAGCAGTTAAAAAACAGCTAATAAAATCCTCTTTCTGAAAGAACTGACGTGCAGTGACTCAGACTGTTTGAATCTTCAGAATAACGTTTCATTTTTGTACTAGTTCTATTTTTCACTACCGTATAGGTGAGTCTGGTGTTATCAGTGCCCACCAAGCTTACCAGGGGCAGACAGGTAAACACAGCAAATGTTCTCTTGGGCTTAGAGCCCAGTGAAAACCGTTTTCTCAGGCAAAGGCTGAGGATCTTCTTACTGCAGATGCTGTACTTTATGTTGCTAAAGAATATTAGACTTTTTTTAAGCAAAATATCAGTCTGTTGCAAAGTAATAAACTGGTGCCCTCAAAAGATAGTTTGTAAACAACATTTTAATTTTTTTAAGTAAATTAGTCAGTCTGATTCCTTTGCCAGTGAGACTACAACCTATGTCTAAGTGTAAGCACATGTGCAGGCGTTAAATGCCTGTGAAATGGGTCAAATAAGCCAGATTGGGAAAAAAAAAAAAAAAATTAAAAAATGAATGCATCTTGCCATGACAGTATAAGAAGCTAGAAATAAAGAAGGTCAGGTAATTTGTTAATCAAAAATATTATTTGGAAACAATTTCTGTATAGTTTCCTTCCTGCATGCTTTCCACAACTCTAAACAGTATTAGCTCAGTAGCAGTTAGTTGTTATTTGTGGGTTATGATGAAAAGTAATGAATTACGCTGTATGTCAGAAACATAGTGCTTTTTATTGCTGCTACTGTCCTTTCCTTTCTTCTCCACCTGAGCTACAAAATGTCTGCTCCAGTTAGCACTCCTATAATTTACTTTTATTTATCATAGAGAACAAGATTGAAGATGGGTTTTTTTGATGCTGATCAAAATGTTTAGCAAAGCACACTTTACATCCTCATCTTCTGTTCTAAAGAGTGTTATTCTTATGCACTATGATTGATTAAATCCAACTTCGTAAAAGCCACTAGAATAATTCCTGCCTGCCTCTAAAGGCTCTGAAGAATAAGTTCTCCCACTAGGGGCAACATTTGAAATTTGTAACTACATTTAAACAGATTTTCCATTATGTAGAGGGAATTACACGTATCATTTAAGCTGACATTAATAATCCTTACTCATTGAATGTCCTTGTCTATTCAGATGTGATTGTGTTTACAGTTTACAAGTTACTGTGTTGAAAAAAACATGTTTGAATGGACGTCTTTATCTAGAACTGGGGAATACTCTGACATAAATCCATTTCTGGTTTTCAGTCAAAGAAGATTGGAACGTCAGGATCACAAAGCTAAGAAAGCAAGTAGAAGAGATATTTAATATGAAGTTTGGTAAGTTACATGTTAAATAAACTGTTTTGGAATGCTGCTGTGTATTAAAACTCATCTGTAAAAAGAGTTTTAAATTGTGCTGTACTTGTTTAAACATCAGAAATGTGCTAGGTCAGAGATGGAAATCTTGATTCCTCTCACCTAGTTTTTACTGACTCTTCCCTACAACTGGCATAAATGACTTTATAACAACATCCTAGGCCGTAGCTTTTCCAGCTGCGTGACAGAGATGATGATACGTGCACAAAAAGCTTTTGGATGAAAAAGTTCTCAGAAGAAATGATTAGGCACTGCAGCCTTAGGTGTTATCTGTAACAAGATGGATGACATCACTATTATTCTACAGAAAATAATAGAAAATCTATTTAAATATTTCTCTTGGGTTTTTTAATTATCTCTGAGTAGCAGAGCTTCTGTAGGCCAAGCTTCTTAAAATCACTTGAGATAAAATACCACCCATTTGAGTGTGTAAACTATCATTAAATCTTTATTTTCAGCCCAAGCTCTGGGGCTTTCAGAGGCAGTGAAAGTTCCCTATCCTGTATTTGAATCAAACCCCGAGTACTTGTACGTCGAAGGCTTGCCAGAAGGAATCCCCTTCCGGAGTCCCACATGGTTTGGAATTCCACGCCTTGAAAGAATTGTCCGTGGGAGTGGCAAAATCAAATTTGTTGTTAAAAAGTATGTTTGTAATTCAGTTATTTTTCTCCTGATTTTGAAGTTACTTGATTTTCTTCCCAGCAACTTTAGGCTTTAAATGCTACCTAAATTCTGTTTCCATGAAACAGAACATTTTGCACGTATGTTTTATCTCATAAAAGGATATACCTTCCGTATTAAATTTATGTAGATGTATAAATTGCATGTTTCATGCATAAAGGATCTAGGGAAAAAATGGCCTTGTACCTGGAAACTTTTTTGCTTCTTTGTTTTTTCTCCTGTTTTTTTTTTTTCTTGAAATAAGCCCAGAAGAAAATTACAGAGTAGAAAATGTAGCTTTATGGTTTTTAACTTTTGTGGTTACAGTAGATGGAGAGTCACCCATGGTTCTAGCAGAATTTTATCATAGAGAGCTGATGTTACATAAATTGGAACTCAACAGAATTCCAACAAATTTGTAATATTTTGCTGTATTTTTTTTCTTGCATATATAATTGATTGGATTGTGTTCTGTTCAACTTTTAGGCCCGAGCTTGTCACTTCCTATTTGCCTCCAGGACTGGCTAGTAAAATAAACACTAAAGGTAAGCGATTAAGTATTTATTTTCTGCCATCAATTCATAAATTCTTTCTGCTTCCTTAGCAGACTGAGATCTTTGTGGTTGAAAAATACGGTGTTGCGAACAAAAGACATTATTTAAGATGATCTAACATAGTAGCCTCTAAATGTGCTGTTATTTGAAAAAGTTACTCAAAACATAAATTTATCTGCTTTTTTTTTTTTTACTTAAGACTATTCCAATACAAAAAATAGAATTTACCCAATTTCAACAACTTGTATTTTGCTATTAATGGCCTAAACCTTATTTACTTACTGCTGTGAACTGAAGCAAATACCAATGAAGATTTGTAAGAAAAGAATAAAAAATAAAGTCTTTTAAGTTTGTCTATAACAAATTAAGAAGTTAATAATTTTGTTATTTAGAGAATAAAAAGCACCAAAGCTGTCCCTCATGCTTAGAAACAAGAAAGTCTTTTGTTCTGAATTAGTGGCATGAAAATTTGGGTGGGATACCTGCTTTTTACAAGAGTACTAAACCTACTTTTTAAGGTTGTGAGCCTCACTGCATTGTTCAGATTTTACTATGCAGACTGTACTTAGTACAGACTCAGGCGATTCTTCAGTCTGTTGGAATTTTCGGAATTCAGCTGTTTTTTCATTCGCTGTGCATGTTATACATTATATAGGGTTTGTGTATTATACCTTGTATTGTATTGACTTCCAGCAATGAGTCCAAAGAGTTCAAAAAGGTCACGAAGTCCTGCAGGCAATTCAAAGGTCCCAGAAATTGAAGTTACTGTTGAAGAAGGTATGGAAGAAATATCATTAAATATTCTAATGTTCTTCTCTTCTTCAAATGTTTTCTGTTCTTAGTTTTCATAGCCCATAATTAACCTATACATGCACCTCACATAGTAAACTCAGTTTCATTTCAGGGCTCTAGATACACTTTCATATAGAAATGGTTTTATTTTTTGTTTCTGGCTAATACTGGATTCTGTGCCAATGACAGTTATGTTAAATGTTGGAGTTTGACTGCTTGTTTGGGTCTTTTATGCCAAGCAGAGATGTGGGAACTGATCTAGTCCTGAGCAGAGAAATGAAACGTGATTGGTAGTATCGAATGCTTAAATACAACCCTAGAAGAACTTCTAAGGGGTTTTTTATTCTACTCTTGATTTGGAAGTTAAGTTTTCTTTAATAATCAAGTTTGATGCATCATTTTCATAGGATGACTTGCTTCTGCTGTCTGCATGCATATATGTAATGTCTTTTTACAGGTCCTAATAAACCACAAACAACAGATGTTCGAACTAATTCTCAAACCAATGGGTCCAATATGAGTTTCAAGCCACGAGGAAGAGAGTTTTCTTTTGGTAAATATCGTGGGAATTAGCACTCATGCATTCTATTAATGTTGGTATTGAAAATTCTGGTGATGACATATCAGGGTTATTTTGAATTCATGTTTTATTCTACAGTTAGTGAATGACTGACGTTCTTCTTTTCATGTACATTCAGTTGTTCATCATATAGAATAACCTGCATCAGAGAAATCCTGGATGATGTATGGAGAATGCTGTACAAATGCAGCATGGGCCCATTAGATCTTACTGACCTGGGGTCAGAGTCAGTCCCTTTAGACTTTTGCTGCTCGGTTATTTCACAGTGCTGCAGCACTGTGAAAGGACTTATCTGGTGCACAGTACCACCACCATGCATAAACCCAGCTGAGATCTGCCATCATGCTGACATTTAATAAGCGCTCCACAAACTTGGGAGCATCACTGTGCAGATACCCGAGTGGTATGTGGGAACTGGGAAGGATCTGAACTCGTATTAGTAAGCCATGATCTGTCGGAGCTGATTTTGCAAGATCACCATTATAGAATCGTCCAGTTCTGGAAAATCAACAGAGGAAAAGCCAGACAGGACTGGAAGCCACGTAGTTGTGTTCGTGAGCATTGGCCAGAGCTTTTTAGCCATGGAGGACCAGGCCTGGCTGTGCAGTGCTCTAGCACAGAAACCTTTGCGTTAGACACAGGGTCAATTTGCAACCCAGATAAATTCCTCATAGTCAAGTGAGATGAATGACTGTATTCAGAGTAACTGTAAGCGGTTCCCAAGTCTCATTAAACCTTCCCCCCACCCCCAGCATCCTTACATTCTGAGTTTATTAGCTTGTATTTATACAGGAGTTTGCTGTTTGTTTTTTTGTATTTGTCCCCCATGCTTTATTTTGAGTCATGTGGTCATACAATCTGAAACAAAGGAATTATTGAGCCAGTTTAGAATGAATATAAGACTGCTCCTTTTGGCATGGACAGTATTCATATTCACAGTTGTGTACAGTTTTCTTGGACTTGCTTGTTATTGTTACACCTTAGGCTTTTTTTTTTTTAAGCTTTAGTCTGCAACATTTTGGGTACTGATTCAGATCAGCAATTTTTATGTTGTCTGGTGTTGTAAATTTGGGTCATTCTTAGATTAATTTCAATTTTCATAGTCCTTGCTTTAGTTAGCAGTATTTTTCAAAGCTTTAGGAGGACAAGGATTCATGTGGATACAGGTTTAAACTGCAGCAGAATGTTTCTGTGCCATTTGCAGAATGATGATAGCCATTTTGCACATCTTACTGTCATAGTGAATTGGTTATCAAGCATAATAATTTATTAAACTTCTATTAAAATATTCTTCAAGGACTGATCCGTTGTGTGCGTGTAGATTTAATTCTTCCAATTTCCTCCTGGCAGAGGCGTGGAATGCCAAAATTACTGACTTAAAGCAGAAAGTCGAAAATCTTTTTAATGAAAAATGTGGTAAGTTTATTGATTCTTTTTACTGAAATGTCTTTCTTATGAGCATGCAGTCAGACATATGATAGATGTGTTCACATGTTTATTCCAGAGGTCCTGCAATCCTTGTGTACTCCCGGCAATGCCTCATTTGAGTTCATTCTCATGTAGGTTGCTTGCAATTGTGTGTCACATTTCCACTAGTTACTTTCTTTGGGCTTGGAAATGGAGAAGTTGTGGCTGGATTACTACTTCTTTAATGACCCAGAGACATAGTGACTCCACATCCTGGCACATCTTTTAAGTTTCCTTCACTCTGCTTGTGAATGGGACTTTGTATGACTTCAGCCTCTGCATGACTCCATACGTTCTGGATGTATCTGGAGAGACGTGCTCCATTGTATCCCAGCCCTACTTCTAGCACAGGCTGTTTGGAAGCTAATGACTTTTGGAAGTAATGACTTCTCGTTACTCTTCTGAGTGCAGTTTTTGGAACAAGAACACTAATTTCCCCTGCCCTTGGTGCTGTTCTTTAGCGGAGGCAGAATGCCTTGCCTGTAACAAAGTGGAGTACAAATGGGATAGTCTTGTATGCTCACCAAGCCACTGGCATGAGCCAGCTGCAAATTTATTAGTTTTCAACTACAAGTTATGATCAGATTTACTGCAACAAAATGAGTTCTGTTTGAGACTGTTAATTTTCTTCCTGCCTACTCATAGCTGCCACCAAAAAAGGCAAAGCCTGCTGGTTCCACCTAATCTAGTCTGTATGTGTTGATTATTATATACCATTTATACCTGAGGTCTTCCTTTCTGCAGACACATGAATTACCTAGCTGGTAGCTTATTTGCCCTGTTGCATTTCAGGGGAAGCGCTGGGGCTGACTGAACCAGTGAAGGTGCCGTTTGCATTGTTTGAGTCCTTCCCGGAGGTTTTCTACGTGGAAGGACTGCCCGAGGGGGTGCCATTCCGCCGACCTTCTACTTTTGGAATTCCAAGACTAGAGAAGATCCTGAGAAACAAAGCTAAGATAAAATTCATTATTAAAAAGTAAGACTCATATATGTCTCTGATAACCTATTCCATGAGAATTGAAATGTAGACAAAAAAATGAAATTGTGTTGCCAAGTTGCTAAATTACTCTATAAAATACACACTGGAATATTTTTAGTAAATGAGGAAATGGTCAGAAAACTTTGTAGAGGTGGAGCAAGATAGAGTAATTTCCTTGTTCTGAAAGACATTCACAATCAGTTTCGGGAGGAAGAGCAAGTCTGGATTTCTTAGCCCATTTCAGTTAACACATGACTGATTTAGTTCCTGCTGCGCAGAGCACTCATGGATTGCTCATACAGCTTGCTCACAGTGTAGTAAGAGCTAAGAAGTGGAGATTCATGTATTGTGGGTTGTAAGAATTTGCTTTTCTTGTCTAGAATAGGTTTAGATAACCATGGGCCAGTGTAGAAACAGCGGCAAGAGAAATTGCAGAGCCTCAGCCATTGCATTCTTGGCTGTTTGGCTGAGAGGATATCGCTTGGTTCCTGTCCTTAATAAATTAATATTAGAAAATTGCATTTTCTTTAATGTCAATGAATGTAATTTTATTATTGTACTATATGTGTTGTATTACGTGTTTGATCTGTTTGCAGGCCAGAGATGTTTGAGGCAGCTGTTAAGGAAAGTTCTGCTAGAAGCCCCCAAAGTGAGTTTTGCAACTGCTTAACATTCTAGATAACGGTCTCTTCCAAGGATTAAATACAGATTAGGAGAGCTGCGTGGTGTTAATGAATTCCTGAAAGATTCATTCTACAGTGTGTTTTGTTTGCTTGCTTATTTGTTTTTTAAGATGGAAAAAGCACATACCAGTTACAATTTAAAAATAGCTTTAGCAAGGGAGTATTAAATTTTTTATGTTATTCACAATAATAATGCCTTTAATATTTTCTTTAGTATCTTTTATCAAAATGTAACAAGTAACGTGTGAATCACAGAAGTAATTCAGGTCTAGAGGTAGATTATTTGCTCCTAATATGTAGGTCATCTAAATGTCAAGCGCTCCACAGATCGGAGTGCAGATAGCCAGTACAAAATTGTGTCGGGTGGGTCACGGATTAAATATTTTGAGTCATATCGTTATCTGTTACTCTGGGTTGGGAAGACTCTGCTGAGTTACTTGAACTATGCTGGTTTGTACCACTGGGTAGTGTGGCTCACAAATATAACTGTAAGGGATTTCTTGTGTGAATGCACGCAGTAAACACATGGATCAGTGGGTGTTACTAAATTAACTGCAAGTGCTGTGATTTTTCTGTTAATAAAAATACCAAAATAGATGCTCCACATACTCTTTTTTTCCTTTCCTTAATAATCTTTTTAGAAAACCAGCTAGGTAAAGATTAACATTATCTTTAATCTAGCTCTTTCCCCCCTTGGGTTGGAAAGGCAGAGTAGTGTGTACTTTCAGTTATTATGTCTTATTGGAAGCTGCTCCCTTTTTGAAAATGGAACCAGGTCCACTTTGAAAACATCTGCTATTTTGCAATATTTTCTTTATATATGACATTCAAGATTTTGGGCTCTCTACAAATGTTTTTTAAATTAATTCTCTTACTTTAGGAAAAAATAATTCATCTAATATCGCCAATACAGCAAGCACCACGACAAACACAGTGGTGAACACAGCTGCAGGTGTTGAAGACCTTAACATCATTCAAGTAACTATACCAGGTGTGTATACTGTCTGGTTTCACATCATACTCGTGCTTCCATTGCTCATGACATTTGTTTAGTCTAATGAAGTTTTTTTCCTACAGTCAAGCTGGTTCACTGAAATAAAAGTACAGGCAACAAAGAGCATAATTTAGCATTCTGTTTTTTCTGGGATGTTAAATGTTTTCTGACACCCATGGGTATCTATTCCAGAATATTCTTGGTCCAGCCCCTAGTTGAGAAATACCCACATTTTTCCCTCTTTTCTCATGCAATAAATTAAATATTGATTTGCAGTTTTCTTGGCAACTTCAAGAGATCAGTACTCAGGCTGAATTGAATCGCCATGGAGGCTGAACTGCTTTGTCTTAACACTGATTACTGCTTTCTCGGGCATGTATTACATTCATTAGAAACTGTGAGGAACGTTGCATGCTATGGCCATCCATTGAATGGCCACTTAGCTTTTACCTTTCCCCACCATGGTATGTACTGTAAGAAAATAAAACATAATTTATGGGTTTAGATTAAGTTTACAAAATCATCTCTAGACACTAAGTCTAATGTTGGTTACGTAAATACTTGGAAGCTTCTCACAGATTTCTTAACAACCATCTATTTTTGTGTATTTCTCCAATTCTATTTTACTGGTAAAAGTAGGAACAAAGACAGCCCCTGTTTTGAAGGACTGGGCTATACCTGCTTTGAGTAAACATGCAATGATAAACGAGCTTCAGGGGAAAAAACAAATCTGCTTAATTCTGATGCTATTCTAACAATTTCTTCCAGATGATGAAAGTGAGCGACTGTCAAAAGTGGAAAAGGCCAGACAATTGAGAGAGCAAGTAAATGATCTTTTTAGCCGGAAATTTGGTAATTGCTTCTTACTCCCCATTTTTACATAGGTGTGAATGCAATTAATGTTGTTCATACTGAAGTTACAGAATCATCGGAGTGGATGATATATATGATCATTAAACTGAACAAATTTGAGAATTGTATATGAAGGTTGTGCTTTGACTTCAAAAAGAATCCTTTATAAGTGATGTAGGTTGTTTGGTGTTTTAAACAAGAAATCCTGAGGATAGATTGCTTTGTCATTGTCCCCCCTGCCCTTCCTGTTTCTTTCCATGAAAACATGGATGAAATATTTATTTTGCTGGCAATCCATGACTCTTCTTAGGGCTTCATAATCCTGACCTCTCAGTACTTGGGACTGGAGTGATTTTAAAAATGCAACTTAACTTTTTTGCTGCATATAGTTTTCTGTCTTTTACTTTGTATTTGCATTGTGCAGCAATAATGACCTGAGTTTCTTTACCTGAGATTCCTTCACTAGTGCTGCGTTGCATTGCTTTTCGTGGCATTGCAGGAAACATTTTGTTTTCCTTCATGTAGCTATTTTCTTAGATAATCCTGTTCTACACCTTTTTTAAGTAAAAACAGAATCTAGATTCTTTATTTGGTGAGCTGTCAGAGTTGGAGTTGATGTTGAAACTAACACTCTCCTAGTAATGTTTATGAGTGTAATCCAAAACATCTCTTTCTAACACTGTAACGGTTTTGTTATCAAGTGAATTTTCATACTTTGAGATCTGGTAGAAAGCTTGCATTTGCATTTAGTTTCGTAATTGTCTGAGGACTTTGTCTTCAATGTAATGTGTAGATTTGAAAATGCACATGACCTCTCTCACTTAGGTGAAGCCATTGGTATGGATTTTCCTGTGAAAGTCCCATACAGAAAAATCACTATCAACCCTGGCTGTGTGGTGGTGGATGGGATGCCTCCAGGCGTGGCGTTTAAAGCTCCTAGTTACCTGGAAATCAGCTCGATGAGGAAGATTTTGGAATCAGCGGAGTTTATCAAATTTACTGTCATTCGGTATGTAGTTGCCATTGATTAGACTATACAGATGTTGTGAGGACAGCCCTGTAGCTTGAATAAATTGAGAATCGGAAGAATAGAAGTTGCAGTACATCTTTGCATAGTGGAAACAATTTGTCAAGTCAAATGAAGCCCAGACGTTCATAGCATGAATGAAGATGGCAACTCTTTAGAGGACATGTCCAATTTGGTATGACAAAGGGCATATTATTAATACTGCATTATTACAGCAAGCTGTCTTTTGAGTTGGAATCTATTCATATTATATAACAGAGTCCTAAAGTGTTGCGGGCCTTGCTCTCCTATTGATAAGATCAAGTTTTGACACAAGTCCAGAGCTTATTGGCTCTTAACAGTAAATAGTATGTTTGTAGTAGTATTATTATTCATATTTTTAAATATTTCAGTTGTGTTAATAATCCACATTAAATGTTTTTTTTCCCGACAAAATGAGTTTATCTACAATATTTAAAAATACAATATTGTCCAATTACAATATAAGTGAATTTTATTTGTATGCATATATTTCCATAGACATTTGCACACACACTCAGGTATATACAAAGTATATTTGTTTGCATGATGCAAAGTAGATGAAACTTTGGAATCATACTAAGGAGGAGTTCAGGAATTGAAAATAACACTTTATCAGTTTGTGTGACTTCAAATCGTAGACTGCTTCACAGGAGTATAAAAGTTTCAGTTTATCTTTAGAGAGAGAAATGGCTTAAATATATTTTACTAAGGTGTCTGAATTCTCAACCCTTAATCATGAAGTGTTTTAACTGAAAGGACTCTTGCTTGATACTTTTAATTGAGCTCTGAAGAAGAGGTTACTACCGTGTTGATTAGTGGTGACCCAGAGAAGGACTGAGATCTTTCTGCGTATGTTACATTTCATAATGCTAGCGAACAAACCACGGTGCCCAAGAGCTGCCATGATGGTTCCTTTTGCTTTGTTCAACCTCCTGTTCATTTTTTAACATGACCTCTGTTACAAAAGGTTAGGTGAGGTTGCCTTGGGAGGGAGACCCCATACAATATATTTTAGAATCAGTAATTTTTTTTAATTATTTTTTTTTACAGACCATTTCCAGGACTTGTGATTAACAATCGTAAGTATTTATGAGACACTGATGGCAACTGTATTTTTGTAACTTGCCAAGATTTGTTTTCTATATTTTGGCTTAGTGGCAGAGGTTCCACAGCAGTTAAGTTCTATGTATCACTCTTGTCTGTCTCATTAAGATTTCCTGACTAAACATGAATGTGCAATTAATTTGAGAACAGTGTGATAAATTTACAGAACAGTATAAGATTAGCATTAACTTTGATATGAAAATGCAAGATACTGATTTTGTATTTTTCAGCTGCAGAGTCCCAAAGAGATTTAGGACCCTGACTGAGCAACAGACTTACATGGGAGTGCCTACATTTTAGGTTCGGATCCATCACAGTAGCAGTTAATAAGCAAGAACTTTCCAGTAGCTGCACAACTGTGTTCCAATGAACAATTCTGCATTCTGCTGATACTGTAACAGTTTAGAGAGGCAGAGTGTAATTACCTGAAGTGCCATGGCCAATTTGGTCGTGTTAATGAAATTGTTTGGGGGTGGGGGGGAAGGTCTTAGCATTTTCAGTTGCCTAAGGTAATTGTGACCTGTTTTTTTAGATCTTATGTTTAAGAGAAAAAACAAACTGCAGAACGCTGTCAGTACAGTGCCCTTGTGTCATGTTCTTTCTGAGCCAATGTCACATTAGAAATTCAGAGGCTAAGTAACCTACTGTCGTTAGTTTGACTTACCTGGCCTGAGCCCTAGTGACCCAGAGCTCGTTCATTTGCATCCAGCCACCAGTACATTCCAGCTAATGTGCTGAAGTGTGCAAGTATGAAGTGTTCTCAGGAAGATATTACAGCTAGTAATTCACACTGACCGGCTCACCAGTCCTAGGCACACCTTCTTAGGTGGGAAAGAGATCCCTTTGTAAGAGGGAACCTTCCAGGCAGATAAGTGTGCAATAGTATTTCCAGAAAATGGAATTAGAAATTAAAGAATCTATTAAACTGTTGTCTGTCCAGCGTAACTGTCAGCATGTGTTGGGGCTGAGGCTAGCCAACATGCTGCATAAGAACAACACAGATACCCGATCATCTTCCATCACTGGAGCAGCAGATTGGTCATCGAGCACATGAATTTTTGTGCTGTATCCTTGTCCATTAGTTATGATCAGAATGATCTGATACTGATAGACACCAAGGTGAATGGTTGAAAGTCTCTGAGCCTGCTGCTTATGTAGGTATGATGCTTTATTGTTCTTCTGAAGAACATGTGAGAACTTGAAATTTTTGGTGCTTGCAGGCAAGATAGGTAATGTTTTTTTCTGTAACAAAAAGTATTGAACTGCAGCTCAATCACAAGTGTTAGTAACCTGTTTATGCGACAAGTTTCAGGATTTGCAGATTCAAGAAGTAAGATTGCCCTTGTGTTACATGTGGGACCATTTTCATTGTGAAGTTAAACAGTGATCATGTCTAATCTTAGAGCTGATGGAAAAAGCTGAAGCAGACACACCGCCAACAGCATCAGCAGCAGCACCAGTACTACCAGGTGATGCAGAGCGTGACGTGTGTCCTTGCAGAAGGGGTAGGGTATGGAGTTCTCGATCTTACTGGCAGATGATATTAGTAGTCATGTCCTGGGTATGCGCTGCTCATGATGAGCCATTTTATTTTGACAGATGGTGTGCGACAGTGACTTTTATAGCTATTAAATATTAATAAATTAATAGAAAGCCATTTTTTCCTTCAAGCTGTGTCATTGGCGTGTTCCTTGATTTGATTTTTGCAGATGATGAGTGAGCTGAAAAGAAGGATTAGTAGGGGCGATATATAAAGCCAATTCAGTATCCATTTATTGGTGTCCGCTTAACTCAAAGTATGTGTGTGTCTGCGCCAGATAGATGTTCAGCCAAGTGAAGTTTGCCTGCTGTAACATGAAAGAACCTAGAATGGGGTCTCAGTGGAATTTCTGCCCGCTGCACAGCTCTGCAACCCCTGCTAGTCTGTGGCCAGACTGCACACACATCACCTGTCTTAGTCTGAATGGAGAACGTAGCTTTATGCTATGAATAGCTATAGTACATGTAGTTGAGCAACTTCCTTTTGACCTGATAGAGTTTTAAATGTTCACAGTCCTTTTAAAAATGTGTATCCCAAGTTGGTGTAGCGTGGGAAAGGCTTTTGCAATTGACTGAATAAACTGTTGCTCAAAGAAACTGGGAAACTAAGATAAAACATTCGATAAACATTTAAAGAGTAAGGCTCACTTGGATGGTGGAAATAACCATAAAGGCAAGAGCTGCTGGTACTCAGTGCAGTTGCTGTGGTCTGTCTGTCCTTAACTCACTGGCAGGGTTAAAGAGGTTAAATGGCTTTCCCAGCACCTGTCCATCTATAATCCATCAACATAGGTAATAGAAAACTCATTACGGAATTAAAATGCGCTTTTTGCCCTCTATTCTGCACCTTCCCACGCTCCCCCCAAGTACACATTCTCGCCACTGAAGACAATACTAACCACAAGTGGTGACTTTTGTTAAAAATCCAGTTTTATATTTAAGCAGATTGAGTAAAGCTGGTCCAGACTTGGTATATTCTGTGCAAGTGCACATTATGTTCTGCTAGGGCTTGGTGATATGTCTGCCACAGTGAACCATACTCTGAAGTGTAACATAATAAATGTTTGGGTATTTTCTTAATATTTTGCTCTATAGATACACGCATTTATCTCAAATATATTTGAGTCTGATCATAAGAGGAAAAAAATGAGACTTTTTTCAGGGAAAACTTAATTTCCCTAATTTTTCTAAGATACTTATCTGATTCATATTGCTGAAACTATATTCATATTCATTTGACAATATTTTTTTTCATTTAAGAGCCAGCTGAACCAAGCCAAATAGAAGTATCTGTAGGAGGTAAGTGTTTGTCTTCAGTTATTATCAACAAATATTTCTAAGTAATTTTGAACAAAGTTGCATCTTTCTTTAAAGGAGACAGGTCAATCAAAACAGCAAAAGGGCTTTTACGGGTTCCCAGGACATTTTTTCATCTGTATTAATATCATGCTGCATCATGTGAAAAATACTGTGCAGCAAAAGTTATTATTCAAATAATTTTACAAAGGAGTTTTATGAATTGTTGTTCTTGGTTGGTGAGTCATGACTATATATAGGCTTTGAGTGATTGCTCATATCCTGAGCAATGCGTCTAGTTATTCAGCGCAGTACTTTCCACGATTTATGCAAGTGAGTGATTGCCATCATCAGGAAATTTGAATGCTGTATTGGCCTGAATATACCATGCTGGGGAGGGGAGAATTGTTGTTCTTCCAGAACTTAAGATCTGAAAAACATCCGACTTTCCTGTTGTCCAAGAGTATGTGTGAGTTGTGTCTTTTCCAGATGTTGATATATGTGGGACCAAGGAGGCTGTAGATCTTCTACCACCTCAGTGCTTTTGCATGTGGTCTTGGAGCATTAGGAATACCGAACTGACCTGAGAATTGGGACGCTGGTGTCTGCCCTGTGCTCTGGTCCTGTAAATGCTGCCTCTGCTATAGACCCAGCTTGTTGGCATGTCACTGAACTCCGAGACAAGTTAACATGCTCAACCAGAACTACTGTTACAAGCTCAGTTACAGGTTCACTCAGTGTTACAAGTAGGTTTTTCGGAGTATAGATCAATCCTGTTGCGATATTCAAGACAAAAGGCAGGCAAGTGTTAGAGTCACAGGAGAGCTGAGCTGCAGATTTTAAGCTCACAATTATTGAAAGCTGAAAGACCAAATGTATTCATAATGCCAAAACTGTGTGGGATCCCTGAAATTGTTAGATGATGGAGGAGAGAAACAGTTGTTCCTGAATACCCTCATGTGGAGGAAATCTAGCTGTGAGCCTTCAAAGTGCTGGTTTTGAAGAAACGTGTTTTTGAATTTGTCATCCAAAACTGGATTCACACCCAGTTACCGGAGGAATGATCCTGAGTAAAGGCATGCAATTGCTAAAGAGCTCAAAATTGCTTCAGAACTAGGCTGGAAGGCATAAAATGATCACGCAGTGAAATGGCTTGGCTTTGTAGTGATGAATTGCCCTAGCCCCAAACCTTCCAAACAACTTCAGTGGAAAACCAATTTCCTTCCAACATCATATTCTCTGTTTATAAAAAGAACAAAATCAGGCTCCAGGTCATATATGCAGTGCTATACAGGCACAAGATTTCTTTTGATTTACCTCCAAGCGTCCCTGTGAACAAGAAAAAGCAAAGATTTTGTAATGAAGTCTCTTGGAAATGAAAAAAAAATCATACCAAAAGATGATGAATGTTTTAGCCAACAACATAAAATTTCTTTATCTCTTTTTTTTTTTTTTTAAGCATACAATAATGCCTTTCTACATAATATTGTGCATTGAGGAAGAAAAATTAGCTAGGGTCAAAATTTAGTTTGAACAGATTGAAATATAATAATGCAAAAGCCGGGATCAAGAAGAGCAGCAATTCTACAGATAGAAAGAAAAAAAAAAATCTGAAAAATAGTCAGTGCTGTGAAAGCAAGAGTTTGTGCAGTGAATGTTAATGGAATAACTGAGCCAGGAGGCACGACCTGAGCACAAGTAGGTTCAGATGTTGTTGGATAGCAGCATCTTACAAAATGTGAAGCAGTGGTCGTGCCTGAAGTATTGGGAGCCGTGGGCTGCGGGCTTCCCTGGAGCGCTTAAAAAGCATCAGCCCGCGCTGTGTACCTGATGAGGTGGGGGGAGGAAGGAACGGTGCTGGGGTTGACAGAGGAGGGAGAAGGACTGAAGAGCAGGGTGCACCCGAAATAGTGATACATCTGACATTTTATCACTGCTTATACGTTGTTTCTTATTTGGATTAAGTTCCTTTCTTGCCCAGTATTTCAGGTACATAAAAAGCATTTTAAAGCTTCATGCACTTCTAGTGCCAATTTTTATTTCTATTCTTTAAAAACCTAGAGTTCTCTAAGATCCCAGTCTGCTTTCCATTGAAGTGAATGTGGTCATTTCTGCAGAATCAGATTGTTGTGAATACATTTTTATTTATTGTTCATAGTTGAAAATGATAAATGAACACTTCTCATATTTTCGTAATTTTTTACTGAAGTACAATAATAACAGAATTGGTTGAGGAGTTTCCTTTTTTTCTTCATTCCTTACTGCTCTTTCAACAGATATTACAGAAACAGAAGAAAATTCTCAAATAAAGCAAGAACCAGACCCAACGTGGTAGACTTCATCAATACTGGGTAAAGCAATTTGGTGTTTCTTGAAGTCAACACCTGTCTAGGAATAACGTTTTTATACTTTGGGTTGGGGAGAAGAGGGCTGAGATGCAGGACTGAACGTGAATTATTTTATTTGTCTCAGTTCTCACCTGTAAAATGTAGGATGTTTTCACTACTTTATCCAAGTACAATGTAAAGCACACTGTGTTCAAATTTGTGATGCAGGCAGTCCTAGGAAAATGTGGTCTATAAATAAAAATGGGAGATAGTCATTACATACCTCAGAGGCAGAGTAAATGAAAGCTTAGGGAATTAGTGTTTTTGGAGAACTCTGACGTGATCGTGTGAAAAAGCATTCTTATTCTTGGTAAAGCCTATATATTTCCAAATTGTCATTGAGCAGGAAAGCTCTTCACTATGATTACAATATTGTCTGAGCTTGGGACACTTGGTAAAGCTATTAGCTGTGATGGCAAACCAACTACCTTTAAAAGTGGGGTTTTTTCCTTTTTTGTTAACTTTTATGAAAAGCTTCGTTTAATTTACAATGCAAAAATGTCTGAATCTTTCTCTTCTACTATTTTTAACTTCAGTCATTCCTAAATATGCCACTTTGGTGGAGGTGGCGAACAGTGCTAGTGCTGTTACGGTCACGGTTGTAAGTCTCTATGCTTCATTTAAAGAAAATGGCCATTTTAAGCTATCCCAGCTCTGCAGTACTTTTTCCCATTTCCTTTTTTTAATAATACTCCAAATATTTTCCTCATTGTGTAGTGTTTAATACTTTAGTAACTTGATTTGATTAATATAAAGTTGGATGCAATTTTTTAGTATGCTCGAGCTGTAACCTGTCTAGCTTTAGTAAGGAAAAGACATTTTATTCATCCCAGAGAAGAAAGCAGCTGCGTATTATTCCAGTTCTGAGGGCAGAGACAGGCAGTCACCAAAACCGAGCTCTGGTTCTTCATTTCTGCCGGCCGGAGGAGCTGAGAGCGATAATGTGGTTTGCCCCTCCCCTGAAGCAGTGGCTGGGGGAGCCTGAAGCCTGTGGGTTTCCCTCCTGGCACCATCCAGCTTTTCTGGAGACTGAGGGGACAAATCCAGAAATGATTTGGTAGAATCTGGCAGAGACTAACATACCAGCATACCAACTCTCTGTGCCCTGAGAATTATAAGTACAGCGGTCATCTTCCTGTTAAACTGGTGAAGTCTGCTTTGGGAATATTTGTCATAAAACTGAATGTGGCAGGAGAAAATATACTGAAGAAAAAGTTTTGATTTGTCATGGGAAGCACTTCACCCAGTAGAGGTATAAAAAGTCATCTCACTTGTCCGGTAAAGGTCACTGAAATTTTGGCTGAGCAGTGGCCGCACAATTTGGTGTTGCAGTGGTTTGGATTTTTGGCTGCTTGAGGCCATCCACTGAATTTATATTAAAGCAAATATTTGATTTAAATTCTTACAGAGACCATTCAAGCACACATTTAATCTCATATTTATTGAGAGCAATATTCAGCTTCTGCATGTTTTCTGAATCTAGGCCTGAAGAACTCAAAAAGGCAACGCAAACTACTCATATTTGTAATAAGATGCAGAGCTGCGATGAAACTAACTCACTTTTGTAATTTTTCTTATCTAGTCAGAAGCATCCAGTTCTGAGAAGAGCCTGCCGGGACTGTCTTGAGCTGTGTAATATAACTGTATAAGAGAAGTACCTTCTATACAAACCCTTTTTGTACTTTTAGATAGAAATGTCTACTTTTTCAGCAGTTCTGTGAATTGACTTAAAGCAAAGAATGACTGTAGATTTGGAATGGCTGGTTTTACTTTGGAATATATTATAAGGACTAAATTTGATGCAGCAGTCCTGGGGAGATGACAAGGATTAAAATCAACAGGGACTTAACAGAGGCTGTCTACATTTCCCAATAAAGCTGAATTTCACCGTACCTGAATGCATCTCAGCTTTCTTAATGAAGAAAAATTCCTGCAAGTAGTTCAGTTTGTTAGTTTTACTTTGGAAAAAAAAAATCATTAGTTTTTGGTTCTTAGTCCTGTAATCGCTGATTGGACAATAGTATCTGTATATTTGAACTAATTTTTCCTATGATATCTATCACAATTAATTTGTTTTTTTTATAAATAAAAGATAAACTGTTTCACTTGACCGTTAGTACGCATTAATGAGATGGACTGTGAAATGGTCAGTATTTCAGTGTGTGGATTAGGAACCAATTTAAATGAAACACTGCTATAGTTTGTTGCGTTAATTCACAGTAGTAAGTGCATGTTTTATCAGAATAACACATGGTTTATGTACGATGGGTCTGGTCTTGTGGTCCTGACATAGGAAGAACTCGCATGGACCTCTGAGAGAGCTCCTGTCGTGAAGGCTGTGGGGCAATGCCCTTCTCTTCATCTAGAACTAGTTATCAAACATATGCTGCAAGCTGCTGTAAGTCCTACTTGTCAAAAGTTAAGTCCTCTGTAGTCCTGGTTACGCCCCAAATCATGTAAGAGACCCATGTACGCTTTTTTTTTTTTAAGTTTCACAAACTTTGAGATGTAAAGTGCTGGCTATATGATAATCTCTATAGAGAAGATAAAGATTATTGTAAAGGTTTCTCTTTTATTGGCATGAGTTTGGGATGACTGCATTATGCACAAATGGTAAACCTTATTCCCTGATTAAGAAATAAAGGCCTTTCTGATGGTTTTCATGACTGTCCATGCAGTATACGTTCATATATTTTACAAGAAATCAAGTTTTAGCAGTAATTCTGTAGGCAGGTAGAACATGTTGTAGCATAGTTACTCATTCCTGCGAAGGCAGTAAGTTCCAGCCATGCCTTTCAAACAGAAATCCAGCTCCAGGTGGGTGAGGTTGTTGTATCTTCAAGGAAAATTTTGAAGCCTTAAATTAAATTGGATTCAGTGTCTGTGCTTTGGGAGCAACTTGAAATTCAGCAGATGAATTCAGGGAGGCACATGCTCTGTCATTCTGGAGCTAAGGGAGAGCTGTAGGACGTGTGTTGCGCTTTCACAATGGCTCTGTGCAGATCTAGATGCTCCCGCTCAAATATTCGGGGCTTGTGCTGTTGATGTCAGTAGGAGCAGGGTTAGCTCCATGCCGAGTCATTTTGAAAACAGCCCCTATCTCTGTCCCGTGGGAATGAGCCTGTGATGTTACTTACCTGTTAACTCTCAGCCGTATGGGTACCATCCCAGCTCACAACCACTGACGTATTTCACTGCTGAGTACTTCGACAGACAGGCTCGTACCGCCATAAATAGGTTGTTATCAGGGCAACAGCCAGTTTCGCGATTGCTGCTAGAAATGTTTAGAAAGGGGAAATGAGTTAATGCAGCTCTCCCCGGGGTGTCAGCTGGCTCTTGACTTCCCCTTTTGAAAAAGCAGAAGGATGGTCCATCCCTTCTTCACTCTCAGCTATCATTAGGAGGCCCTTTTTGCACAGCTGCCTGCCCAGCAAGGCGGTGTATTGCCGATGGAGTCGTCAGTGCTTGCTCGAAATGAGGGTGAGGCGTGATAGCGAAAGAACTGTGAAAATAAGTAATTCCAGGCTCCTGCCTTAGCAAGTATATGACAGCAGAGTGTGGACATCCTGCAGCTTCGCATGCAGGAGCTGAAAGAAAAAAAAAAAGTGAAAACGGATGCAGTGGTTTTACTGGAAGGACTGGAGTCCTTAGGTGCCGCTGGGAGCTAGGGTGGTGGTGTGCCTTGCGTCC